CAACTTACGCAAGCAAGTATTGTAGTCGTAGCCTTTGCCAGTGCACACACAGTATTCGTCTTTACAGACAGACTTCATGTTGTAACTTCCAGGGCAATAATTGGAGAGACATTTCTGTCTGGGAGGAGTTGCTTTGGGTGTGGGTGTGGTTGTGGTAGTGACTATGAGGCTGCTGTAGTTGTTACTTAGGCCTTAAATTGACAGTAGAAGAACAAGTTAAACCGTAGATATTACATACTGCCCGGGCATAATTGACACTTAATGACTGGTCCCTTGGGGAACGGTGAATTTTGTTTCCCGAGAATCTCAATGTTTTCTCATTGAGATTCGAGGGAAACAAAAGCGATTTGTTATGTAGAAAAACAAATCGGTCAAACCGGTGGAAAAAGAAAATAAGTACTTAATTGAAAAATGACGTGCAACAGCGGTCAACATTTTGCGGGTAACAGCGAGCTGTTTCCCGTTTGACGTCATAATTTTCGCAATGTTGCCGGGTGCCGCTTCTTGTTGGTAATTTAACTAAAGAATTTTTACCTTGTGAAGAAGATAACGTCAGTGACCATTTATCTGCTTTGTAAGTGCCGGTAAATGACGTCACTGCACCATAAATGTTGTGTATTCGTCTAAAAAAAGGACAAGTGTCGATAAATTCACACATGCAAACCTGTGCGAAATAACTGTAATTAACAGAAAGCACAACTTCTTTGTTTACATACCTCAGGAGTCCCACTGTATCTCCCCCGCCTGTATCTGAACCATATCCCATGCTCCACTGTGAATTACGGGTTCCTTGTTTTTCAACAACTTGCACTTGGTTCACATCTCCACTAACAGAACTTTCATCTATGTAATAAGCAACCTAAAAATGGAAAAAAATTCTTTATTTAGACCTGACAAAAACACTACAGTGAAATTAGTCACATTTCAGTATGCATATTCAGCCGGTTTCTAACACCCTGGGTAGTTTTTTAAACAGTCCTTCTCTCACATTCAGAGGTGGGCAGCAAAGTCTTAAAATATGGCTGCGGTGGCGAAGTGAGCCAAAAAAAGTGCCTAAATTGAACAGTCGTTTTTAAAAGGTATGACTTCTTTTATTTTCTAGTTTTTGATTATACAGCTGAAAATTCTGAAAGTACATCGCAGAAGGTACACACCAGGTTTCTTCAGGGGCGGATCCTGGAATTCTTGAAAGGGGTGGGGGGTGGCGTGTTGTTCACCTTAATTGGTGTGGATGACGAGCGCCGCACACGCGATTCCACGTGCCCTTCTTGGTGGAGTTCGAGGCCTTCCCTTCCCGGAAATATTTATCTGATTTTACCCTCTAAAATACCATTTCGGATATTCCTGACATTTGAAAAGTGTTTGTGAAGATATGGTATAAAATCTGGAGTATGCCTCATTTCTTAAAAGAAAACAAAAAATAATCAGTAATGCGGTTGCGAAATGTACATTTTCTTTTCCTAACTTGACAGTCAATTGGTGAGAGTGAAACAACTACGTATAAAACAATTTTAATCTATTATTTTTATGCACAGTCAAACAAATAACAAAAAAAAGCTGCTCAAATGAGGGGGGAGGGTGCAGCCCCCTCAACCCCACCCCTGGATCCATCTCTGTGATTTGAAGCTAAATATTTTCTCCTAATCTTTATCACTGCACTCTGAAAGAAACAAATCATATTTACGCTTAAAATGACTCAAGTCTCTTACTTATAAGACTGAAAATGATTCGTAGGCTTAAGTTCCCGCCGTATACTCACCAAGATGACTTTACTGATGGTAATGCCAGCTGGTAAATTGAGAATCCAGTTAACAGGTTCGTAGTTGGCGAACACGAGTACAATAGGTCGGCCTGACTGGCCACTGCTGACGATATTGACATGAGTATTACCGGCTGATGGAGGGCGTGTGTGCCTATTCCCCTCGTAGACAGACATTACGTGTACTTCGTACTGTGTGGAGCTGCTGCCAGGCGTGCAGCTGTAGATTGTATGGGGCTGTTGATTTTTATATTGTGGTTTTGCAAGAGCTGTATCAGCATTGACCTTGATTCGACAACCATGCACATTAGCTGAAAATTAGAAAGTTCAAATGCCTCAGCTGACTGGGCGAAGAGGCCATGGCGTGATCTAAAGATTGCCATGAGCTGTTGGCAGTACTCTTTTCGCGCTTAGTGAGAGGCACTTAGTTGTGGCAGGTGCGGTGGCTTCATGGTTAGTGCACTCGTCTCTGGATTGAGCAGTCCGGGTTCGAGCCCTGGTCGGGCACGTTGCGTTGTGTTTTTGGCAAGACACTTTACCCTCACAGTGTCTCTCTCCACTCAGGTGTACAAACGGGTAACAGCGAACTTAATGCTGGGGGAAATCCTGCGATGGACTAGCATCCCATCCAGGGGGGATTATCCCCGCTTCATGCTACAGAAGTCGGGATAAGCTCCAGCCTGATGGGCCACTTAGCTCGTATAAATTACAGGCTTACCCTCTTCTCTCTTTGTTGACTCTAACATGTTTAACGGAATTGTAACGCATAAAAATGCCTTGTTTTTGCCCTAGATTTAAGTTTCTAAACTCCATGCGACCCAGCAAGCATTTATCTACAAGCATTTATTTCGAGACACCCTAAATGCTTTTTATCTGACCAAGATTTCTACATAAAACAACTTACGCAAGCAAGTGTTATAGTCGTAGTCCTGTCCAGTACAATAACAGTATCCACCTTTGCAGACCGCCTTCATGTTTCCAAATTGGCCAGAGCAGTAGTTATGGATGCCTAAGCACCTTTCCCGCTGACTTGCAACGTTGGCCAGACACAAACTTAGGGCGATCAAAATACCAAGGGCAAAGGAATTCAAGTGCATGATCATTGGTGTTTTGCTTTGAAGAAACGAAAGCTTAAGTTTAGGAACAATACCATGCAGTCCCTAAGAATCAAGCCCTGGCAGGGGTGAGAGCTTGACCCTGACGCTCCCACGTCCTTGGACATTATCTGTTCCTCAATGCTCACAGTTTTCCTCGAGCTGCGCTGTGGGAAAACTGTTCACTTCTCGGAACAGATAGTGTCCGCGAACAAATATCCAAGTATATTTTCGCGCCAAATGGAGGCTACTGTTTACATATACATATTCTTTCTTCGAGTAAACAACTTCTGCATTGTGGTCTAACAACCAGAACAATCACTATTGGACCCTTGGGTGGCAAGCTAAATGGTTAAACGCAGTAACTTCAGAGAGCTAGGAACTAGCTGTTAAAAATGGATCTGGGCAAAGTTATCACTGGGTTTAGTTGGTCTGTATCTTACAAAAGACCATGCATTTACTGGATTTACCAGTACCTACGTACCTCATTCAGGATAATTGAAGGGGTGAGCGCAAAACCATGCTAAGTGACGATTTGGGTGAAAAAAAAATTTTTGCGAAAGGGCTTGAATTTTTGCACGTGGTCTTCAATGTAATAAAAAAACGTGGTCCTGTATTTTTGTCGCTGGTTTTTGCTTTAGTTTCGAGTTATAACGTATGCAAAAATACTTGGCTTTTCCTAGCCATGTCTTTAGGAGTTAATTTGTTGAACAGCAAACAGGCAGACTGTTTATAGTGTATGAAGTCAAAATCAAATCTCACAGCATATATGGAGCGGAAATCTGGGAACAGATTGTTTACATCGGTTATTGTGACGTGAACACAACACGTGAATCGATCGAGAGTCAAACGAAATAACATCAAACAAAAAAGAGATGTGCCACATTAGAGCTCTGTCAACTAATATCTTAAGCATTGTTTTAAAGTACCTTGTATGCCTGCCTGGTCGTTGAGAGGCATCGTAAAGTCTCGATAAACCCGTAAGTCATTAGCACGTTTTATAGAATCAAAATGTGTTCTGAGACTTGGAAGGCAGCTGATATACCGTAATCGTGTTATCGGCGTTCGAAGTCAGATCGAGCCAGTAAGCAAAGTCCAAGAGCAGTTCTTGCCCAAGAAAAATACCCTCTCATGAGTTGTGGCCCATTTACCAGGCGTTGCTAGCGTTTGGAAAGCGAGAACTGGTTTAAGACTTATAAAATTTGTCTTGTATCGACCGTGTATCCCCGTGATATGTGTATCCCCGCACACATATCACTAGTGATATGTGTATCCCCTCCAAAATGGCGACCAGTGATATGTGTATCCCCCAACCCCCTCCCCTCTACTTTAAATAGCAATATCCTCCTTGAAAGCACTGTCGTCGTCCGGTCGCTTACTGGACGAACGACTCATCACCCAAACAGACTTTAAACACAAATCTCAATTTTGTAGTTGAAAGAGCTTACGTATCTGCTGCTGGAATTGTGTTCTTGATCCTAACTGGTTTTCTGTGAGCAGGATATGATGAATTTAAAGTTGAACAGCAAATGGATCTACAATAAATATATTTCAATTTGAGTTTCACGGCACGGGATTTCTAGGACGATATTAATTGCGCGGTGCATTCTCACC